ATTATTTAATATTATTTTATTATTTTATTATGTTTTATTTTTATTATTTTATTACTTCCCTTCTACGTGACTTTACCGAAAGAACCAAGAAGATGAATCCCTGCAGTCACGAAAGCTTTAAATCGAAAAATAATAAACGTCTCGTATCCCCCCCCCCCCCCCCCCGCAACTTGCTGCATGGAGGGCAAAAACGCAACGCGAAACTAGAATCGCCCTTATTCTTGGGTTTTTTCGGTAAAGTCACGTAGGTAAAAAAATTAAAATTAATAAAAGTAAAATAAAAATGAAATAAAAATCACGACGTTTCGGAGGCAACACAAGCTTCCGTCTTCAGGTGGAACCGTCACAGCCACGACAGCTGTATCAAGTTTTACCTACGTGACTTTACTGTATCAAGTAATTTACATTTTTTAACCTACGTGACTTCACCGAAAAACGCTAAGAATATGAATCCTTGCAGTCACGAAAGCTTCCAATCTAGAATGAATCGCCCTTGCCCAATGGTCTCTCTCGCCCCCTGTTCATCGCCCGCTAATGAACCTGCCTCTTCAGCCAGCCTAACGCTGACGAGAGCCGTATCAGTGCCACTACAGCCTCCATCATCATTATCACACCCCACCCCACACACCCTCTCCACTGTAAGCAATCGTCGTAGCGTCTAACCCTCTTCATTCAGCCCCCCCCCCCCCCTTACACCAAGTTCAAGTTCATTTATTAGGTATAGCCCTGTGAGCCATTCGGCTCTTGAATCGGGTGCAACCGCAACAAACAAACAAACTAAAACATGAACAAGAAAACATCTTAAAGTGACTATGTGACTAAGTGCAAACAGAAAATCCAAGAAAAGACAGGCTAAATATTGCAGAAAAAAACACCGTTACACACCAACGCTGTGTGCAAAAATCCCAGTGGGATGCAAGTCAAACAACAACAACAACAACCATAAGACAACTTAGATTAAGGCCATCAGTCTAACTCTGTACTACAACAAACAAACATGGCTAAACCAATACACTTTTCGAAATCACCTAAATAAACCCACCCTCCCTTGAAGCGCCCATCACCGCTGATTTCCCATAAACCTCAAATCGCCTCTCCCCGTCCACGTCTTCATCCCTCCCCGCGGCAGAACGATGAAAGTTGACGGCGCAGCATGTGGCTTGAGCAACGTCGCCGATCTGTCCATCGTGTGTCATCATCTGCCCCTGGGCCACAGTCATCCCCCCCCCCACTCCACACCACTCCACACCGACCTCCACCACACGCAGTCCAGTGGCTCTGCGTAGTCAAATTTCGATTGAAAGCTTTCGTGACTGCAGGGATTCATCTTCTTGGTTATTTCGGTAAAGTCACGTAGAAGGGAAATAATAAAATAATAAAAATAAAACATGATAAAATTTCGATTTAAAGCTTTCGTGACTGCAGGGATTCATCTTCTTGGTTCTTTCGGTAAAGTCACGTAGAAGGGAAATAATAAATAATAAAAATAAAACATGATAAAATTTCGATTTAAAGCTTTCGTGACTGCAGGGATTCATCTTCTTGGTTCTTTCGGTAAAGTCACGTAGAAGGGAAATAATAAAATAATAAAAATAAAACGTAATAAAATTTCGATTTAAAGCTTTCGTGACTGCAGGGATTCATCTTCTTGGTTCTTTCGGTAAAGTCACATAGAAGGGAAATAATAAAATAATATTATAAAATATATACTATTTCCGTGGATTTCACACCTGATGATGATTGCTTGTGTTACAGTCGAAACGTCATGATAATTTTAATTGTTTTATATATTTTTTATTATTATTATTTTATTATTTCTCTTCTACGTGACTTTACCGAAAGAAGCAACAAAATTTTTACTTCGTTTTAATTTTCCTTGCACACATCTTAACACCTCCTGTTTCATTTCCAGAAAGGGTAAAACCTATTTTTTATTGATTTATGTTTCATTAGCGAGGTGGTGTGGGAAGCCGGGGGGGGGGTGGGGGGTAGTAGTGTGGTCAGATCACGTGGGCGTAATGTGTCGATGTTGAGTCGTCACGTGCACGGACGAGTCCCTCGATGAGTTTCGCTGTCAAAGGGAGCCGGGGGGGGGGGGAGCCAGCCTCCCCGCACGTGGCCAAATCCACGAGATTCTCTCTTGAAGGGCTATAAAATCGCGACTCGGGAGAGGTGGTGGAGGGGGTGGTGGTGGGGGGGTGGTGGGGGGGGAGGTGGTGGTGGGGGGGTGGTGGTGGTGGGGGGGGTCCCTAGGCACACGAGCGAGCGAGCACGTGACGAGTCATTGCGGATTGCAGACAAAGTGGGGTTTGATGTGGAGATAACCATTAGGCATCAAAGGACATCAATGGCACACAGCTGGGAAAGATGAAAAATGTTTTTTTTTTCTTAAAAAAATAAATTAAATGTTAACGCGGGTGACCCCCTAGGGAGGAGAGGCTTTGATCATTTGGCGACGTCCGTTTGACGTCGAGACGTCGACGGGGCGAGCGGCAGCGAGAGACAGAAGGTGACCATCGCACTCCCGTGTTGGCTCGCGAAGACGCAGGGCGAATCGTCGATGACGTCAGGGTCAGAGGATGACGTCAGGGTCAGAAGGCTGACGTCACGTCAGTGGGTGACGTCGGCGTCAGTGGGTGACGTCACATCAGAGGGTGACGTCACGTCTGTGGGTGACGTCACGCCAGAGGGTTACGTCACGCCAGAGGGTGACGTCGGCGTCAGAGGGTGGCGGCAGTGGGTGAGGGTGACGTCACGCCAGAGGGTGACGTCACGTCTGTGGGTGACGGCACGTCAGAGGGTGACGTCACGTCTGTGGGTGACGTCACGCCAGAGGGTGACGTCACGTCAGAGGGTGACGTCGCGTCAGAGGGTGACGTCAGCGTCAGAGGGTAACACCGACGTCAGAAGGTGACGTCGCGTGAGAGGGTGACGTCACGTCAGAGGGTGACGTCACCGTCAGTGGGTGATGCCACGCCAGAAGGGTGACGTCACGTCAGAGGGTGACGTCACCCACCGATATATTCGCTTTATTTTTCACAAGCGATCTGGCCTGCGTGTGCTCTAAAAGGCCAATTGCCCGAAACGTTGCCCGTTGTCTAATTAACCTTCGAAAGCACCACAAGTGTCGTTGATGAACTGGTTGAGCCTTTGGTGATCTAGGGGGGGATTGAGTGTGGAATTCTGTTGGCACGGTCGTTATTGTATTTCTCCAAGAAGAAGACAAATACCCCCCCCCCCCCCCCCCCCCCGTGTAGCATTAGCACACTTAAATTTCGATTTAAAGCTTTCGTGACTGCAGGGATTCATCTTCTTGGTTCTTTCGGTAAAGTCACGTAGAATGGAAATAATAAAATAATAAGCAGCCGTCCTCAGGTGAAGAACAGGTCTATCGAGAAGACAGAGTTTGAATGAGACACCCCAGGCTTGGAGCGTCTATTTAAGCTGGGTTGGAGGGGGGGAGAGCGCCTTGACAAAATAATTTACATATCAAGAGGAATTTAGCATATTTGTAATGCGGGCGTAAATGGGCGGGGCGGATATGACGACCCGAGAGGGAGGAGTCAGGGTCACGTGGGGGAGAAGTTATAGCGGGGAGACAGGAAGCCATCTGGGGAGTCGGGGGAGTGAAGGGTGGTGAACAC